TTTCCTCTCTTCCCATCTCCTCTCCTCGCTGAGGGCAGCTCCGTAGCTTTATTTGCCTGTTCTTACCAAGCAAAATGAAGTGGTTTCCTTTCTGCTCTTATTTTTCTTTGCTGGTTTTCATTGGAATCTGGGCTGGTTTTGATATTGGTGCCTGGTGCTTGTTTGCCTGGCAAACTGCAAAGAGGAAAACTCTCATTAGAGAGATTCCAGGCCTGTGCTTTTGTGGCTGAGGGCTTGGAAACTTCTCATTCCTGCTCTGTGGTTCTCCAGGGAGACCTCCAGACAGAGCAGGAGAGAACAGGCTTGCTACTCGCACTATCTCAGAGGTAAACCCAGAGTAGCATAAAGGCCTCTTTATTTTAAACATTTCCAGTCTCTTCCGACAGCTTTACAGGTGCTATTTGCTTTTTCTCCTCCTGGTACACGACATCCCTAAGGCAGAGCGTCCCCCTCGGAGATGGAACGGGCCTGGAATGGGCTCGGGAGCCCACGGGGCAGCGCCCGTGCGATGCGGAGCAGCTGTCGGCCTGGCAGGGCTGCTCCTCTTGGCAGCCAGACAAAGGACTCAGGAGCAGGAGGAAAACAAGGCTGGGAGGGAAAGTCGCTCCAGATAATATGGCATCTGGCCTGAGAGGAACCATCTTGAGGTGGGGAGCAGGGCTAGACTGGGAAAGTTTGTCCGGAATAGGCATCCAAGCCTCGATCCGGAATTGTTGCAAGGCTGTCTGGAGACCTGAGCCAGGAGCTGGGAGAGGATTTCCTGGCACTCTGTATCACAGCCCCTCTCACAGAGGATCTCAGAGGGCTCTTTCTCCTGGAGGGGGGACCAATGTAGAGCTTCTAGAGGGATCTCGAGGTGTGAGAAGAAAAGGCAACAGGGTGGAGCTGCAGAATCTGTATTTTTATTCAGCATTGGGTGTTTCTCTTGCATTTTGGTGAGGATGGGGCAATAGGCAGCAAACATCAGCCAAAAATTAGATCACAGAGGAGGGACACCAAGGGCTGTCAGATTTCTCTCAGGAGCAAAAAGAGCAGAAGGGAAACGTCGTAGCATCAGTAGGAAGCAGTTGTGGGGAACAGAGACAGGAATGTAAGGAGCTGCAGCAAGGCGATAAGAAAAGAGCAACAATGATGCCAAAAAGCATGAAATGCACAATTTTCCCTCTGTGCCAGTGTCCCACACTGCCCCTGGAGTGTACAAGGTGTCCTTGGAGCAGGGCCTGGGGAAGGAGGTGTTCTGCACCAGGAGGTGCTGGCTCTTTACTATCCCAGTGAGAAAGGCATTCAGCTCTGTAAAGCATCTTTGAAAATGCTATTTGTTAGAGACAGTTGCCTCTACTTGTGCTCTTCACAGAGGTTAAACCTTCCTTCATTCAAGACTTAGAAAGCTTAATTTTCAGCCTAGGCCTACCAGAGACTTTTCACTTCATTTTGGTTGATCATCTTACTTTTAGCAGAAGAGCAGTTTGGAGACTTGCAGATTAAATTAGTGCTCAGAAACTTGTACGAGCATCTGTGATTATTTTATGTATGATGCTGGATCCCCAGAAATGTGGAGAGAAGTATTTGAATATAAAGTCTCTCCAGGAAAAGGAAAAAACTTCCCATCCCCTTGCTGCTACACAGGTCTCTGTGTTGGGTAAAGGACAGAACTTCCCCAGTCACTCAATTCATTAAGCCTGACAACAATTAATTACATTGAAATTAATGCGCAAATGTAATGTTTTACACATGTCAAAGACGTGCCAGGAAAAAGGAGGGTCTTGCTGAGCCATCTTTAATTCTTCTCATTGTTGATTTAACCCAAGATGATGAGGAACAAGCCTAGTTTGTGCTCTCCATTTGCAGGTCCCCTCGAGTGTTACAGCAATGACTAATTCACTTTGTTTCCAGATAAAAGGGGACAAACAAGTTTGTTTTAAAGCATGGCCCAAGGCCCCTGGCTCTATGGCAGAGCCATCCTACAACCAGCTGCCAGCACCTTCCAACATCCCACTTTGCATGTGTGTTCCTTACGCCCTGGCCTGAGGGGCACGGCACCAACCCCGCAGAGCTTTGGGAAGGGAAAACCTCCTTCAGATCAGTCGGAGCTCTGGCGAAGCAGGGGCTGGAGGCAAACTCTGTGGAAATGCTGGCTGCTGAGTATTCCCAGTGGTTTGGGAGGAGCAGAGGTGAGGAAGTCAAACCAGCAGAGGGAACAGAAAATGCCAAGAAAAGAAAGAGGAGGGGGACAGGGTAAATGGTGGAGATCTCACACAACTGAGAAGAGACAGCTGTACCTGGAAAATACATCATTGGTGCTTGCTGTGACTGAAGAGCCTGATTTCACAGAATCAAGGTTTCACTGAATATTCTGAGTTGGAAGGAACCCACAAGAATCATCAAGCCCAACTCTTAAGTGCATGGCCCACACAGGGATCAAACCTTGGTGTTCTTAGAACCATGCTCTAACCACTGAGCTCTTCCTGTCCATCCTCCCTTGTGAAAAACAAGCACACACATTTATTTTCAAATTACCTCTTAGTGTGGAGAGGGCTTGAAAATGTCACCTGCGTGATAAAATGGCTCGGCTGTATTTCCTGCTCTATGACTTGGCCACTTGGTGCTGAAGAGCTGCTTTTGATGTCAGTGAACACGACAGAGCCATGAGCAGCGTGCTGCACAAGACGGGGCATGTGGGCTCTGGGAGATGGAGCTGCTGCACTCAGGGCAGGGTTTGCACGTGCAGAGCACAACTCCAGCACTGCTTGGGACATCAAAAAAGGTGAAAGCACAGGCAGTCCCTCTGAGGGAGCTCACTCTGTGGTCACCCCACTGAGCAGTCAACCCAGGGCCCCAGCACGGTGGTGGTTTTGTTCTTGTGGCCACACCTGGTTGAAAACAACTGAAGTGAACCCTCAGAGCACATGGCAGGTGGGAAGAATTTGCAGGTACTTCCTACCCAAGCCAACTCCTGCAGTGTCTGCAAAAAAACCCCCAAGACTTAAGTCAGTTGAAGCTTAAATAGTGTCTGAGGCCAAGCAGTGAGATTGTCACAGGGTCTTGTGTCTCATGCCACCACTGCTCCCTGTGCCCAGAGAACTGCAGAGCAAATGTCAAAAAATAATCTCACCCTACAAGCCTGACCATCTCATCAAGCCTGACCCCCAGTTTGCTTCAAAGCTCGCAGTGCCTTTTGCTGAAGAAAAGGATAATCTTTACAGGACTCCTTCCTTATCCCCCTTCCCTCCTGGAATATTGTATATTTTGAAGCTGTCATTATAAAACTCGAGCAAAACACGGGGGATCTTGTTCTGCAGAGTGTTGCTCTGAGAGCAGTTTTGTAGAGTTGGTGCAAAGCCGTGAAAAACACGGCAAGCTCGGAACGCTCCCATTTCGCACTCACTTGGTGTGACTGTAAACAACCACACAGCGATGGAAAATCCCGGAGCAGCGTGCAGGACTTCACTGGCCTTCCAGGGATTCAACAGAAAGGCTGTTATTTATAAATCTGGAAGTGAAGCGTTAGGGATGCAAAGTTCTCACTCACACGGTGCTGGCCAGGAGGGTTTACCAGTGCAATCTTTCAGGACTCTAAGGAGAATTACACAGTTATAGTTGCAAGCACCAGTGTGAAAATATTGTCACTGAGCGTGTAATTCTGTGCCTGAGGCTCTCAGGACCCCTCTCTAACAGACCAGAGTGTGGATCAGTTGTAAGGAAGACTCTGTACCACTCTGGGCTTTGTAGGATCACTGCAGTCATGCACTTGGCCCAGAGATAAAATACAACTGTGTTTCATCTGGTACTAGTCATAATTTTCAGATGTTTCTTCCATGCAGCATGCAGTCGCTAGGGCATGAGCCAGGGGCTCAAAGGCTGCCTCGCTTTTCCCATTCTCCCTCAATTTTCCTTTATTTGGAAGAAATCATCTGACTGCTCCGTGACTGTTTCTGTGTCCCTGTGATGGAGCTGTTACCTGCTTCCCTCTGCAGAGCCGTCCACTATGGGCCTGAATCATGTCACTTAAAAGAAATGTGCCCCTGAGTTTCAAGGAGCAGGATCAGGCTCTCTCAGTTTGCCGTCACTGGCATTAAGAGCAATAAAAAACCTTGGACAGACTTCAATTAACACATGCAATAAAATTTCCAGATCTCAGAGTGGCCTCTGGTAAAATGTATGTGTGGGTCTGATCTCGTGGGTCTCAGGCTAAGCTGTGCACCTAAGGAGAGCTTGTCCAGCTCCCAAGCAGTTTTATTTGTATAAATCTGGAGTAATTTAACAATTGTAGAGTGTGTTTGAGATTAATTGACAGAAAGAGCAAACCTGAGTATCTTGCAGTGAAAAGGGTGAACTTTGAAGTGGAAGATGCATGTGGAAAGTGCCATCATTTAACCTGAAAATTAATATGTTTTTAAATTTTTTTTTTGTGGGGAAGTTTTACTGCTGCTTGCAAGCAGAAAATGTGTCAATTACCAACGAGATCCGTATTTTTTTTTTAGCCCCTCAGAAGCTGCAATCTACATTAACCATCCACCTTCAAGTGGAGAGAAACAGTGGCTTGAAAAAAAAATAGAAGCAAAAGAAAAAAAAAAAAAAAGAGGAGATTTTTTCCTCGGCGGCATCTAGGGGGAAGAAAAAAAAAATATCTTTTATTCTAAAATTATCAACAGGTATTTTCCATCGAAATTCGCGGGGGGAGACGGGGAATAACGAACGCGACTGAACGCCCGGTGTGAGGTGAGGGGGAGGCGGGAAGGCGGCGGCGCGCGGGCCGCCCTGAGGGACGGCCGGGGCGCTCCGGGCTGGCGAGGGGCCGCCGCCCGCCGCGGGCACAGCCCGGTGGAAAAAAAAAGCGAAGTTGTGCCAAAACTTTCCGAAGTTAATTAAAACAGCCCCCCCGCGCCGCCGCCGCCGGGGCTCTGCCGCCGCCGCCGCCCGCCCGCCCGCCCGCCCCGCTCCCTCCCGGCGGCTCCCTGAGGGGAGCTCCATTGTCTGTGAGGGGATGGCCGCGCACCCCCGCCGCGCCCCCGCCCGCCGCGCCCCCGCCCTCCGCGCCGCGGTGCGCGGGGCGCCGGGCGGCCGCGGCGGGGTGGCTGCCGGCTCTCCCCCAAAGTTTTTGGATCCGCGTCTCCTCATGATGTATGGATGATATATTGCATTGTGGGTGTCAATATAACTGACGGCCATATTTGCCGGTGCTGCTACTGCTGTAAACAACCCAAAGTGTCTGGGAGACACGGAGACGCTTCGCTGAATTTCAGGACGCTTCTCCTCCTCCCGCTGGCCATGTCTCTGGGAATGTCTTACAAGCCCAACTTGAACGCCCACATCCCCGGGACTCCCCTCAACCCGGGTAAGTCCGCGGCGGCAACTGGGTGGCAAGTTTGGGGAGGCGAGCGGCGGGTGCCGCACCGGCACCTGGGGGAAGCCCCGGACTCGAGTTTGTGCCCAGTCCGGTATGGCGGGGCAGCGGCTCCTCCGCGCCGCCATTACCCGCACCCGCCCGCCCCGCCGGCCGGCACCGCCAGCCCCGCACCGCGCCCGCCCCCGCGCCGGGCACCGCGCCCGCCCGGCCCCGCGCCGCCGCCGCCGCTCCGGGGCTCCGGCCGCCGGGTTTCCTCCATGCTCGGCTCCCCGGGGCGGCTGATTGATCTGGATCAGGAATATTCCGGCGGCGCCTCAGCGAGGACCGCTGCTGGCGGGACGCCGCAAGTGCGGCCGCTCGCCCCGCGCCTCAGCCTCGCCTCACGCCTCCTCAGCGCCGGGGCCGCCCCGGGGCCGCGCTCCGCGGGGCCGAGGGGTCGCCCCGGACGCCGGAGCTCCGCCGGAGGCACCGGCACCGCCTCGGGGAGACTCCCAGCCCCGCTCCCCCCTCAGAGTCTCCCCCTCATCCCGGGCGCGGGAGCCCTGTCCGCTCGCCGGAGATTTGGAGATGGGGAAGGAGGGGGGGTGTGGTGCACACGGGAATTGCACTGTTTCTTAAAAAGCTCCTTTTTCAAAATCACTCCCTCGTCCTTGGATCTGTACGCGAGCAGTTTCAACTTTCCTCTCTAAAAAGTTTCCTTGACAGCATTAACTTTCTGTCTTTATTTTTTTTTTGCTCCATCCCCCCGCTTTTCCCTTCCCTCCGCGGTTTCCGAAGGCACCGGCCGGGGGTTTTTGCCGGCGCTGAGGTGCTGCCGTACATCGGGTCCCCGTGTGCGAGTCGGTGCAGCCTGAACAAAGCCGCAGCAGCAATTGCTTCGCTGTGGGATATTTGGAGGGGATCTCGCTAATCTCTGCGCGTTGGCTCGAATTAAACAGCACGAAAATGGAGAAGTTGCTTCTGACTTGAAAAAACCGTATTCCCGTCTCCCATTCCCGATGCCTGCAGGGCTGGCATCGGACCATCCCCAGCCACAAATCAGGCTGATTTTTTTTATTTTTTTTTTTCCCCCCGAGAAAAAGTTTTGGAGTTGGGTTTCAGAGGGAGACAAATCAGCCTGGGTGATTTTTACGGCACCGTTAGTGGCTGTAATCCTGGGAGGCTGATGAGCGAAAGGGATCACCGAGATGCACCTCTGTTCTAGCTGCCAGGAGAGCAACAATCTTATTTTACTGCAAGGAATCGTCGCCAGCTGGTGGATGAGCCGAGGTGCCGGTGCCTCAGACACTTTGATCCTGCGTGGAGCTGAGCTCGGTGGGGCTGTGAGCTGGAAAGGCTCCGTGTGCCGGGGTCGTGTGTGGGGAGTGCCGTGGGCCCCAGCGCTGCTCTGTGGAAGGGTCAGGGAGCAGGGGATGTGCCGAGGATTTTTGACAAAAAGCAGAAGTGTCACCGGAGGGGAAAAAAAAAATAAAAAAGAAACAAAACAAAGCCGAGCAAGGGAAACCGTTCTCCTGTCGGCTCCCACGAGAACCTGTGCCTTGCTCTCCGGAACAGCCGTAAAATTGCAGGGAAAACAAAGGTGGTATTTTGCGATGGTGGGTGAGGGGTGGGGATTAGGTCATGCTGTGGGGGGGATCCGAGTCTGGCTGCTCTGCGAGCGGGGACTGCGAAATCCCGGCTCAGACATGCCGCGCACAATGCGAGCCGAGCGGGGAAGTTTCTGTCTCCAGCCCTCTCGCTGCCGTGTCGGTGCTTTCCAACGCTCCGGCTGCGAGCAGGGCTTTAGATTCTTTCATGCAGTTTTATCTTCCCCTTCCCCCCCAGTCCTCCTTTTTGCCTCGTAACGGCAAGTTAGCAGCAGTTTGCTGTCATGCTGGAACTATTCCTGTCTAAGTTGTCCTCTCTTCTGAGTTCGGATCATCCTCAACACCCCCAGAATCTTTTCAATGAAAGAACGTCCTCCTCTGAATCCAAAATGGGCTCTCTCTTCCCTCCCCGTCTTCTGCCATTATCCTCACGCACCAGCTCTTCCTCTAGCTGGTGGTATTGCCAGCACCGTGGCCTAAGGCCAAGGGACTTAGACAAAGCAGTCCTTGCAGTTGCACATATCGCATTCAGAGTGATATGACTGCAAATGGCCCCCTCCTTTCTGGAGCTTAATTCTGATTTGGAGGAGACCGCTTCTCTATTGTGCTTAAATTAAATGCCCCCCAGCCAGGGGGATAAATCCTAGGTCTGCTTCCAAACCTGGGGTGAAGGACCCCCCCGCCCCGTCCTGCAGAGGAGAGGAAAACAGGAAATCTGTCCCTTTTGGCCTGAAATCAGCCCTGCAGAAGCCTCTCTGTATGAATGCTGAATATTTTGGTCTCGGCCGACGGAGGGCTCTGGGCAGCTGTGGATCTCACAGGGATTTTCCTCTGGGAGGTAATGCTGCTTCCCTGCAGTGCAGGGCTTCTGGTGCAGGAGTATTTGGGAAGACAGTGTCGACTCAGCTCCCGGAGCTGCGTCCTTGCTGCAGAGCAAACTCCTTTCAAGTTTAGGCTGAGAGTGGCCACTCTGCAAAATTCTGTTTTAAGCTGCACATCAGTGAGATGAAGCAGTTGTGGTTGGTGGGTGACTGGGCTCTGTTCTTGCACGGGAGCATGTTTTGGGAATCCAGTCCTAGACTGAAGTCCAGAGGGAGTGGAGCTGTGTGTGGGAGGAAATATGGGGAGGAAGCCTTCATGGATTGTCGGCAGATCTGGGGATGACTGTGGGTGAGGAAAATGCAGCTGCTCCACAAGTGACTCAGGATGCTGGAAGTATCCGGGTGCTGACTCCTCTGCCTTGCACCAGGCTGAGGGAACGAGATAGTGTTGTCACAGCAGAATTTGGTGCCTGTTCCTCTTCCCCAATGCCCAGAGCAGTGCTGACACTTGGCCCAGGGTGGCTGCACTGGGCTTACAGTGTTTTGTCTGAATTACCAGTCATCTTCCTGGAGGGGCTGTGCTCAGGAATTGGGCTCTGGCTGTAGCATCCCAGGCTGTCAGATCCAAGCTGCCTGTGCTGGGGGAGCCCCATTTAATCTCCTGCACAAGCACCTTCTCTGCCTGGGCTACAAAAGGTTGTTCTGGTAGGGACTTGCAGTGCTGTGGTCTACCTTCCCAGCCTCACCTGACCCTGCAGTGTCGCAGGGGAACCTTTATTACCTTTTCTAATAACCATGTTTTGATTTGTTTCTGTTTTCTTCCTTATCCTGCTGAATCCTAGGAAGTGCTGTTTCCTCCTCATCTGTCTTGTGTTTCATATTGTTTGACTGTTTCTCTGTACGGGACCAGCTGCTGAGCTGAGGTGAAGTAGTGCATCTCCATTGACTTAAGTGGAATAGAGACATTTACACCAGCTGTGAACTGATCTGTAGTTTGTTTTTTGCCCTGTTTCCATGTGTTTTCTGGCTCAGTGGATATTCAGCATTCCTATTTTGTTCAGAGTATGCACAGGTCAGAGAAAAGGAGTTTTAAGATCCAGAAGCTACAGCAGGAGAAACTACTTGGGATTTTCCTTTAGTTTTATTGTCATTCTTGCAGGAACGTCAGGTTTTGAGACAAAATCCTGTTTATGTAATAAAGGCTAAAAACTGTTGTCTGTAGGATCTGGAAGCACAGATTCCAGCAGGCTGGGACAAGGGAAGGAGCCGTGTCTTGGCTCCACAGGAACAAGTGGTGACCTGTCCAACAGACACTGCTGGATCTGGGGACCAGCAGGGCTGTGGGTGCACCTGCCACACCTCCCAGCAACCAGCAGCTTCTTGGGAAAAGTGCAAATTCTCACTGAGAGGTGAAACATAATAATTTCCAGGTTACAGCTGGAGAGACCAGTCCCATTCACTCCTGAGAAACGGTTCCAGCACACGAGGCCGGTCCTTGTGTTATTACACTGCAGTGCAGACTTGTATGAGCACGTGGCTTGCTTGTCACCCTTTACAGAGACAGCTTCTGTTTGATATTGTTGTCCATATTGAGAGGTTGTTTTTGGAGTGGGAGTACTGGAAAGAATACTCTTTGTAGGCAGAACAGAGAGCAAAGTGTTCGTGCCTGAGCAGAGGAGATAATTTCTAGGAAATATAGTCCCCTCTCTCATTCAAACTGAAATTTGCTGGATCCCTGATCTCTTGGAAGTCCATGAGAAGTTGAAAATGGTCTGAAAAGAAGCTCGCTAAACATGTTTCAGAATTAGCAATTTTCAGGTGGACTTGTTTGGGCATTTAGAAAACTGGCATTTTTGGCTTTGCCTACCTGAGTGTTTTACTTCAGAGCAACAGTGTGGTTTCCACAGTCAGCAAATCCTCACGTGGTCCCCGCCCATCACATGCTGGTTGAGTTGCAGAATGGTTTTGGTCCATGCTAACTTGATTCCTTTCGGATAAAAATGATCCAGAAGCTCTACTCCAATTGTGCAGTGCTGATGCTGCATCCCTTTTAATGGGGACACAAAGATCCAAACCAAAGATTGGACAGCTTGGAACCATACCCCCATAGTCTGGGGGACCAGACTAAAATCTAACCTTAAGTCATACCCCCTCAGGCCAACTACATGTGGTGTACACGTACCAAATGCTTTCATCTTTTGATCTATTCCTTGTTGTGCCAAATAACTTGCTCATGTAGAAATAGCTTAAGCTGGAAAAGAAGAATGGTGGGGAGTCCAAGGGACTGGCTTTTGTTTTTCTGATAAAAAAAGAAGACAGGAGGGTAGGAAGAGGAGACATAAAACATGACCATTATCCACATGGAAAGATTTAATAGCACAAGAGTACTCGAGGAAAGGCCCAGAGTGTGACAGATCAAAAGAGCAAGGCCTCTGGCTGTTCTGATAAAGAATGTCCCAGTTCTTGAGAACATATTTATGTGTCTGCGCACTGCGCTTTTTTAAAAGGAAATAGTTTTATTCAAAGAAAGGTCTGTTTCTTCCAGAAGGGCTGCTTAAAGGAGAAATAGTGGGTGAAAATA